CGCGTTTATAATAAAATATGTCTAGTGGCTGTAATGCCAGTGTACTCCATGATACAAATACAAACAGATAAGATACCGCGCATGTGGGCGTGGCTTATGCATGACTTTTGTGACGTCAACTTGTGCTAAATTTCGCCATATTGTGTTTTGACGTTTATGTACATTTACGGTTCATAGCCAATATTTAATAAAATAATATTTTAAAAGTGTTACAAGGCTTTAAATTTTTCCCGATATGAGGTGTGCAGTGTATGGTTGTGCCGTTGACAATATGTGCAAGAGTATTGTACCCGGTACAGCATTTTATAGCTTTTCAAAAGACAAGGAAATGCAAGCTGTTTGGAAACATTTGTGTAAACGCCAGGATAATTTTAATGTTAAATTTGCTCGTGTTTGCTCTAAGCACTTTGTTGAAAGTGATTGAAGGGATGAATCGGTCATTCAGGTTGGCGAAATATAAAACAGAAGTCAACTACTTTATAGTTTATAGAAGACGTTTCGCTTTATACTTCTAACGCTTCATTAGTTCTAACTCAATATGTAGTATTAAAGATGTTATTATATAACAATCAAAAGACTTATATTATATATGTACTTAAGTTTACTCATTATTTAGAACCAACTAAAAAAAACAGAAAGAAAGGACACAAAAATTTTGCAAAAAATAATATTCGCAGAAACGAAGATTTAACAAAATTTTAAACGTACATTTGGCTTCATTTAGAGATGGTTCTCCAATGAAGACAAACAAAACACTGGTGAGTCTTTTGTTAAATCTTCGTTTCTGCGAATGATATTATTTTTTGCAAAGTTTTTGTGTCCTTTGTTTCTGTTTTTTTTTAAGTTAGTTCTAAATAATGAGTAAACTTAAGTACATATATAATAACATCTTTAATACTACATATTGAGTTAGAACTGATGAAGCTTTAGAAGTATAAAGCGAAATGTCTTCTATAAACGTATGAAGTAGTTGACTTCTGTTTTTTATTTTGCCAACCTGAACGACCGATTAACCTCTGAATTCACTAGTTGAATACTTTATTAATGTATATATATATATATATATATATATATATATATATATATACAACATATATATATATATATGGTTGGAGATTAAATAATTATAACCATATTTTAGCATATCCTGAAGAAGCGAATAAATTTTGTGAAAGCTAAATAAAAGAACAAAGAGTTTTACTTATTGCTGCCCTATTAATGACTGCAACCTCAAAAGAAATAGTTTACCTTACGTGTCAGTCAATAATACCTAACTACTATGTATAAAATATATATTGTATGAAAATCACATTCCACATTTTGCAATTTGCAGCATTCGGCCATGGCTCCCTCCATCAAACTTCACTCTTATGGGAAAATTGTTATTTTTTACAATATACTAATTTAAATACTTAAGTTTAAATTCACGTAGTAAATAAAACATCTAGTAAATTATATTAGAATTTCAACAGTTCGTTTCATCCGCAAGCATGAATACATTTTGAAAATTTAGCACAAGGTGACGTCATGCGCGTGAGTGTACGAGTCTAGTGCGTGGCAATATCATATCTGGTATCCTTATATCATGAGTGTACTCGGCAAAGTGATTCTAAAAAAGAATACATCTATCGCCTAAATATTTCGTGTTGGTATCATGTGACGTCACGGGCTATGACGCCGATGACGTGCATTGGTATGTAAATTAGATGAAGTGCATGCAAAATGCAAAGAATAAAAAAATATAAATTGCAAATAGTAGCACTACAGGAAACCTAACAACTAGAACAAAACCCAATGGAAATGAATGACTATTTATTTCTTAATAGCCGAGGAGACTGTTTAGGCGCAGGCTTTTAGACTGTTAGACTGTTAACTTTAAATCAATTTCAGAGAGAATATGTATACTAAGAAGAAGAAAACATAACAAAAAATAACATTTATAAGTATACACGCACCGACTGAAAAAAAACCAAAAAATAAGGGAAGACTTATTAGATAAGATTATTAGATATTAGGATAATTAAATAGACACAGTATTCAAAAAATATTTTCAAATACGATGTAAAAATAGTACTAGGTAATGCTACTGCAAAAATAGGAAAAGAAGAAATATACGTACCTATACATTATGGAAAAACATAGTTTGCATGAAGTAACGAAACTGGCCACTTTATAAAAGATTTTGCAAGAGAACAAAATACGATCACTATGAGCACGTACTTCTAACACAAAAGAATACCCCAAGATACATGGAGATTGCTAGATGGGAAATCTGTAAACTAAATAGTGTGCTCATGTCGAAAAAGATATGGAAAAATCTATAAAGAACATAAGAGCATACAGAGGAGCAGATGCACACAGATAATTTTATAGTCGGAATACAAATGAAGCAGCTTATACTAGATATTAGAACTCAGCAGGAACAAAACACAAAGCAATTAAACCTATTAGACTACAGTCAGAAGAACAAAATAAATATGAAAGAATAGTTACTGGAGAATTAGATAATATTACAGAAAATGGAAATATTGAATAAACATGGACGCAAATGTCCAAACGCAAATAGAAAAAAGGTGAATAGACTAGAAAAAACTAGAAATCGAGAAAAAATACAACGAACAAATAAAGCGAACCAAAAAGAATCCTAAGATCAAAGAAAAGAAAATAAAATGAAGACAAATTGAAATGCATAAAAGAAAGCTTTAGAAATAAAGAAATTAGAAACTTATATCAAGGGGTAAAAATGAGAGAAAGGGTTACCAAAGGAAACCTGTACATTCATCATCATCATCATTGGCTTTTACAACTCTTCGTGAGTTTTTACCGCGTTTACTATTGCCTTCCATTGATTCCGATCCTGTGCTATTATTTGCCATGGCCTTACTTCCATCTTCTCCATGTCTTCCCTGACTGCGTCTTTCCACCTTTTTCTAGGCCTTCCTGTCGATCTTCTACCATCTGGTCTTTCTCAAAACACATTGCTAATCAGTCTGTCGTCATCACTCCGTACCACGTGGCCTGCCCATCTTAATCTATTGGCTTTTATGTATCTTACGATGTTTCCTTTCCCGAAGAGAGTCTCTATTTCATTGTTGTATCTGCTCCTCCATTGATTTGTCACGCTGTCCCTGCAAGGACCATATATAATTCGCAGGATTTTGCGTTCCCATACTAATAGCTTATTGATTTCTTTCTTTCTCATTACACTGTACATTACAAATTACTATTACTATTTAAACCTGTACATTACAAAAACAAAAATGTAAAAAAAATTAAGTGATAAAGAAGTACTAAACAGATGGAAAGAATACTTCGAAGAGCTTCTAAATGAAATACCCGCAACAGAATATTAAGACGAAGAAGAACTGAAACAAAATAGCGATCAAGAACGAACAGAGAAAAGACCGCCTAATAAAAAATAAATAAAAGAAATCGTCAACGAGAAGTCTTCAGCTAAAGAAACTGACCTCCATAGCCCCCAGAACTCCATCACCCCTCACTTCCATCCTCACGTCTCACGCTATTTTTGCGTAAATGGGTAAATTCCTTTGTTTCTTCGTTAAGGTTAGGTTAGATTGTAGGTATTTATACAGTAAAGAACCTCATTGAAAAATCTATAGAATACAACAAACCTCTTTTCTCCACCTTCATAGATAGAAGCAATAAATGACAGTAGATACATTGTTACCTAAATTATTTATAACCGCATTAGAGTATGCATTTAAGATGGTTAATTGGGACTAAAGAAGAGTAACAACAGACAGCAAAAAGCTCAACCATCTCCGTTTGGCAGATAACATTGTCCTTATCACAGATAATTTAGAATAAGCCACAGATATGTTAAATGAATTAAATTTTGCATGTTCGACGGTGGGCCTCAGAATAAACTTGATCAAAACTAAGTTTATGACAAATATGGTCCCCAATAACCATTTAAATATTCAAGAGAAAGTGGTAGAACCGGTGGAGAAATATACGTATTTTTGTCATTAAATAAGAATCAGCAGGGATAAGCAAACATGCGAAATCCAAAGACAAATTACTTTAACGTGGCAGCCTTTGGAAAACTGCGAGACATACTTAGGGATACCATACCAACTAGCCTCAAAAGAAAAGTATTCGAAATTAAGAGTAGCATAGATAAACGAAGATCTGCGAAGAAGGACGAGTATTGCTGATGTTGTGGAACGCATAGCAGCACTAAAACGGAACTGGGCAGGTCATGTGGCGAGAATGCATGACTTACGATGAACGAGCAAAATTACAAATTGGAGGCCAAAAGCAGACAAACATAGTAGAGGACGGACATCTACACGTTGGGCTGACAACATCAGACGTATCACCGAAAATTGGCAACAAAGAGCAAACAATCGATAATAATAGAGGAGTTTAAGGGAGGTCTGTATGCAGCAATAGACGTGATACATGAAGTCTGGATGATGATGATGACTATTAATTATATACATAAAAAGCAAAATATTTGAAAATATTTTCATTATCTACCAACAAAAAAGTTCTATAAACGTGGTTTCGTCTCTCAAAGTCTATTCTTCTCATACATAACGACATATTTTGACCTATATCTAGCCTGTTCAGGCAAAGGTACAAATTAAATGCGTACTGTTAAAGAGAGAAAACAAGATCTGTAACCAAATTTCCCACTTTACAAAGTGCCTTAAAACCGAAATGCATAAAAAACCAATTTTAGCAGTTGCTTCATACATTCAGAGGCACCAGTTGGTATCCACTTTCTTCCATACAAAAAAAAAGCTTAGTGTTGTGTCTAATTTGTTAAGTGGATCATTTAGTAAGAAATTGTGTCTCCTTTCTCCGATTTTCACCGTATTTGTCTTTAGTTTCTACTACTTTTTCTAAGCAAAATTTTAAAGAGAAATAATAAGCATTCAAAATTTTGTTGCACAATATTCAACTCATATGAAAGAAAAATACACCAATTACAGAAGAAGACAGAAACTACATTGTTTTACTTTAAAACTAACCTTTCTATACTGAGCATATATATCTCGTTCGTCTCCAAAGGTATTGTAAATTTTTCCAGCAGCAACTTGAAAGTTTTCTGTACCAAGAGCAGTGCCATAAGTATCCGTGACACAATGAGCAGCTGAAAAAACACAATATTACTATTGCCTGTTCTGAAATCAATTGGAACTTAAAAGCTTTTTAATTTAATTGCAATGAGTCGTACTTACCAGTTATGACAGCTCTTCTGCTTATTAATGTTCCCCCACATATGTTTTCGTAATATTTTCCTAAAATCTTGAACACCGCTATAACCCAGGGGTATTCATAATCTTTGACGTATTTGCCTTTCCAAATAAGTGAAGGTTCCTTATAAACTTTTCTTCCACAAGCTAACAAAAACAATTAAAATCAACAAACATTAGTTAATCACGTTCTAAAAAAATAAATCTGTTTGGGTACATAGTAGTCCGCTCCATTATTCTACACGTTGACAGTGCATACAATGAGTTTATAAGCCATTAAAAAAATCTAAATTTTAATAGAGAAACACAAATTATTCATCACCCCTTATAAAATTTTGTCAAATCTTCTCTTTGACTGTTAGTTTTTGCATCTGATCATTCAGGGAAAGATCCAAGCTAAACGTGTAGAAGAACATCATGGCTAAACATGACAAAATAGCTTAGGTACGGAAAATGGACTACATTATTTATTATGTCAGAGGTGCTAGTGATAAAATCAGGATAGCATATATGGTAGTCAAACGGATATCCAACGATCGGTTATGATCATGAAATTAAAACAAGAAGAAAAAACAAGCTAATGTAAAAGTAAAATAATTTGATTAATGCTATCCAATTATAATAGGTAAAACGAAATATAGACCAAAAAAATGTTAACAGGAGCAAACTCATTGTAAAAGAAAGAAAATACCTACAACAAAAATTAAAGGAAAAATAATTTACGGGCAATCTGAAGTCGGGAAGTAGAAAGAGGTGAGTTTTTCTGGGTACAAAATTGTTTATCACGATTTTCAGCAAAATTACAAGTTGAATAGAAAACTAAACACAGTAAAGTCTGTAAATTTTACTTACTTGGTTGACATATAGGTTTGGGAAAGTCCCAAACGCCATCATTACAGTAAAGAACATTTTTACCTCCTGGTGCTATTTCGTAGTATGCGTTGCAAGTATAAGTTAAATAGGTGCCATCAATGGCTTTATCACAAGGGACTATGTTACCATATATATCTATACATTTTACCGTATTAGTTGCAGTTGAATAAAATGGAGGACATAATTCTAAAAATTAAAACAATTTGTTTATTGTACAATTTAAAAATATTAATCTGGATATAGGAAGGGAGGGTGAAATGAAAAGGAGAAGCAAAAGAAAAATGAGAAGGTAAAAAAAGCGACAAAGATGAGATTTGAAAATATTCAGTTCTTATTTAAATATTTTGTTTGAAGGGTTAACAGTTGTTATAGTTACTTATTTTAATCAATTATTTCATTCATTAGAAATAGAATTTAGAACTAGAGTCTTGAGATACGAAGTATTCTCTCTACCCTTTTATATGGAGCTTTCAAGCCTGGGCAGTTACGGATACAACTAAAAAACACTTGCAGCTTTGATATGTGGTGTTGTCAAAGAATGTGGAAAATATCATGGACACAAAACGTATCAAACACAGAAATATTAAGAAAGATAAAAAGGAAAAAGAAATACTAAACACTATAAAGTGGAGAAACATGAGCTACTTTGGTCACATACTAAAAAATGAAAAATATGAGTTGATGCGATTGGCTATACAAGGGAAAGTGGAAAGAAAACAGGACTGGGGAAACGACGTAAGTCATAGTTAAAAAATTGAAAGTAGTGGAGTGAAAAAACAGTAATAGAGCTGTTCAGAACCGCTACAAACAGAGTAAAAGGGGCGTGATGATCGGTAATGTTTTTAAAGAATGAAGCACACGAAGAAAAATATTTTATTTATTGAAGTTATACTTCTATACGCACGGTCGGCGTTAGAAATTTGCATGGGAGTAAATCTGTGAAACCATTACATATGTAAAATAATGAGTAAGAGAAAGACAAAAGATATATTTTCTCCCTCTTCCTCTTTGGAGACTAAAAATGTTCCTTTTGTATATATAAATATTATATATATATATATATATATATATATATATATATATATATATACACATAAGAAGTAACAAGAAGTCGAGACACCTCCTCTGATAGCAAATTTGCTATCAGAGAGGTCTCTCGACTTCTTGTTACTTCCTATAGATGTCGCTGCTAGCGTACCTGGCCGTTATTTGTTTATAATGACCAAGTACTAGACTGCATTTAATTTCAGTTGAACTTCCACAAGTGCTCCTGACGATGGGTTGAATAACCCGAAACAAGTGTAGGACAATAGTGCAGTTCCGATTAAAATCAAATGCAATCTTTTACTTTCATATATATATTATATATATATATATATATATATATATATATATATATATATATATAATATTGTATATGTATTAGTGTTATAATTTATCCTGATATGTTTTATATTATTTAATAAACGTTTATAATTATTTTAGGCTTTTGTATTTCAAAATAATCATCCTTTGACCGAGAACTGTCAATTTTGAAATCCGTTAGTGTCATGTCTAATTGGCAAATTCTTTACGTGTTTGGTTCATACGCTGGTGTTTGTGAGTTCGAATCCCAATATGAATTTCCTTTCTTATTTTTAAACTATTTAAAAACCTCACGTTAATCTTATTAAATATAATGTAATATACGCAAAAATGCTAAATTTTAAAATATAATAAAAATTTACAACATAATTCGAGTTGTTGGTATTTAATTTTTATCTTCGTAAAGTAAGTAATGTATATTGGCAGTTTTAAATACTTATGAATATTACATTTTAATTTATATTGTATTATTATATTGAATTATGTTGCAGTGTATTTATTGTATTGTAATTTTTATATTAATAACAAAATAAACAATGAATTTTACTGCAGAGTATGTGTAAACAAAGTTTTTTGCATTCAACTCCTTTTTATACATATATGAAAATAAAAATATATATTTTCATTAAAATATTGATACAATCCTTCATTTACTATACTCCTATTACAGGTCAAATGTTTATATACAGCAAACGATGCACCATATACCTATATAACTAATTCTTTTTCTCTTTCTGCTCTCTCTTACCTATAGCATTGCATATGTAATGATTGTACAGATTGACTCTCATATAAATTTGTAACGGCGAACGCGTGTATAGAAGTATTACTTCTACCGGCAGTCCCATTGGACTGCCATACCCGTTTTTTATCTTCTATACATTTTCCACAATAAAATTGGTTATATTAATAGTTTTATCAAACCCAAGAACCACTTTCAATTACCCACACGTCTGTGGGAAAATTATTAATTTACCCAAAACGCGTAACTTTAGTAATATGCTTTAGTTTACGAGTTAAGTGCTTTAAAGATTAAGAATTATCTAATTTATTATATCTCTCAAAAAGGATGGGGGTGGGAATTTGTAAATTTAACACCATCGGAATACATAAATAGAATTGCATCCATTGGTGAGTATATATCAACTAAGTCAGATATCGTGGGATTAGCGTCTACACTTAAGAGCGTCTAAATATAATTACTTATTTACCGTACGCGATACACACGGCGATATTCGTTGCTGTTCTTCTTAGCTGACTTCTATAACATTCAAAAAAGGCAAGTAAATTTCTTTTGTCTTGATAATTATTTCTGAGTTATGCCAATCTATTTTTCTTTCCTATTTACAATCATGTTAATTTAATTTTTACGCCTTTGAGTAATTAACCAGCTAACAGTATATTTTCTTTATAAACAGATTATATTGGCTATTGAGTAGTAATATTATAATTAATCGATAAAATGTCGTATGGCTATATTATTTCTTATTTCTTTTACCAGTTTCCGATTTCAAAATAAGTTTACATTACAAAAAACTATTGTGAATATGCTTTTAATTTTACATTTGATTTAAAAGTTAGTTTATATTCAACTGCTATGGTAGATTTGAAGTATTGACTAGCCATGAAGTGGATTACCGACTGCATGATGAGGTGAGTTTATAATTGGGTTTTATTTTAGGGGTAGGGGTGGCGATTTGCGATGTGATGTCAGCAACTAGAACAAATAGTAATCTTTTGGAAATATTCAGTATTGAGATATTCACTTTTGCGACATCTCAAGCAGTACTTTAGACGTGAGGGATCACATTGCTTAATCTATGGATCCTTTAATCCCAATATTAGTTGAAAGTACTTCGGTAAGTTTCGTTTCAGAGTTGGGTTATTATTGGAACGGGCAATTGAATGGCAAATGGGTTTCAGATAGGATATCCCCAATCTATTTTTTGGGAGAGCTTTCAACGTCGGCAATAACTGTCTTAAAGTGAGATTTGGATTGATGGTGACGTTACGACATTATCTGCAGGATACGGAGATTTTTCTATTTTGAACAGTCTAGCGAAGTTTTGCCTGGAAGGTGTGATTTTCTATGAATTAGTTAAGATTTTGGTTGCGTTTTGGGAAGTAAATACTTTCAGAAAGTCGATATTTGAAAAAAGGTCGTTGGTTGATAGAATTTAAAATAATTTTAGTTGCTGACCAATACTAGGAGAGATGTTTTCGATTCTATATTATTGGATAAAGTGTTTGTATAGGTTTTATTCTTAGAGTTTTGGATGTTGAAGAGAATTGTTTGGTTATGGTTTGATCAGGGGAGTGCGGACTCATTCGTCTGTGTGATGCAGGTGGATTTTTTGGGGGTATAGGTTGCTTGTTATAAAGGATAGTTGAGAGGGTGGTATTAATTTGAAGATGACTATGTTACTGTTTTTGTGCGATGTCTGAGATGTTTTATAGTACTTCGATATCTGGAATAAGTTCAGAAGTGAATAGAATTGCATATTGTTCGCCACATTGGACTGATTAATATCACATGTTTCCTAGGAGGTTGTGAAATTTGTTGTTTTGAGAGAGCTTTCTTTGATTAGAAAATGTGTTTGTGATATGGTTCGTGAGGTTCGTCTTTTGGTTTAGGAGTTAAGTTGAAATTATTTAGGTCAAAGGAATTTGGAAGATCAACAAACAGATGTTAGTTTTAATGATGTTTTAGATATTCGACACATCTAAAGTTGTTGCCATTATGGTAGCCACCACGTCTTAAAAATTCTGGATGGGTTTGTGAATTATTTCTATATACTGTGGTGGATACACGGAAAAATCTCAAGGTAGTGATTAGGCTGTCATTATCAGGTTGTATGTTTGGGTTCGGAAGGTGGGGAGGTTTGGAATGCAGAAGGTAAGGAAGTTTGGGGTTAATTTCTGCTAGTTGCATATTTCTGGGTTTAAGCGGTATTTATCACTTAGTGATGAAGATTTTATACATCTTTCGTGCTCTTACATACACCTAGGTCTTAAAAGTCAGTTGAGCTGGGTGTCCCGAGCGATCATTTCACTTATGGTATGTACCTGGGCTAATCATCAGCGTTGTATAGATGGAGTGTTGGTAGACTTTCTACGCCTCTGTACTCTTAAAATACATTTGAGAACCAGCTAGTTTCCTGCGCGTGTTGAGTTACAGACTATATAAACATAAACATTTACTATCTTCACTGAACAGTTCCGTAACTCGTTATCTGAAATATTCTAGGTTAAAATTTTACCTGGTTCATTACCTAGGTGGAATAATTATCTGAAACTGGAATTGAAATCCCTATGAAGGGGTCAAAATGACTGGGCAAGCAATGTGCTACCGCGATCATCGATCGATGCCGGACGTGTACTAAATAAACTATCAGCGTTAAGATTGGGTCTTTAAATTAAAGGCATAATTAATTACAAAAAAACCGATTAATCAGTTTTAACCTAACTGAACTTTTAGTAATTTTTAAAAGGCTTTTTATATTTTTGTTAGTTTTTCTTTTTTTTAATGTTTTGTTGAATTGCATTAAATAATGAAATAATTAAGAAACTTACTTTTACACGTCACTGAATTTATTTCGTCGTCCCAATTTGCGCTACAACTAGTGAATTGAATATTGGGAAATAATTGGTAGCCTTCGTGGCATTCTAACTTTATAATTACGTTGACGTCTACCTGATCACCTGGTTTAACATCTACTCCAATTACTAATATCCTTCCATTTTTTAATTGTGGCGGAAAAGTACAATTGAAACTAAAAAGACGAATACCATTTAATATCAAACTATGTTTTAAAGATTCAAACAGTTATACAGTACGTTAAAGTTAGAAAATTTTTTGAAACTATAAATATGTTTTCTATGTTAAATATGTATATAGACTTCCTGTTATAAAGTTATTTTATATATAGAGCACTATTTAAGTGCGTTTCCTTGACTCTTGATCTTAACATATTTGCTTAAGTTGTTCTTTTATCTAAGTGTTTGGCTTTTTTGTTAATGGAGAACTCATGTTTGTTTTCAAGTCTGATAATTTTTAAATCTAGAAAATTTATGGATTGATTCTGTTTTGTTTATCTTGTAAATTCAATATAACTATGGAGTAAATTAATGTAAAATACGAATTGGTCACATACACATACAGATATGATATCAACAAAAAAGCCGAACACATAAAAAAAGGAATAACACCAGACTTCAGAACAAACCACAACTTAGGCAAAATCCATCTTCCAAAATCAATAATATAGAGAAATAAATGGTGCCCTAATAGGGTCCCTCTATCTCCAGTAATCTTTATCGAATACTTCAAGACCTTAGCACTATCCACATCAATGCTCAAACCTACATATTGATTACGATATGTTGACGATACATTCGTCATTTGGAATCATGACAGGGGTGCTTTGGTGTTTTTTCTAACCATAGTATACATCCTAGCATCCAGTTCACGATAACAGTCGAAACTGATTCATCCCAACCGCTTCTCGATATTATTATAAATAAAAAATAATTTGAAGGTTTTCATCACTCTGTTTATCATAAACCCACCTACAACAATTATTACTTGCATGTTTTCTCTCATCATTCAACTTCACAAATTAATTAAGTCATTAATACTCGTGTTTCCAGATCAATACGTCTTTGCGATGATGCAAGTAGACCCGCTGATCTCTCCAGTTGAAAGCCCAGAAAGTCCAGAAAGTGGGGTTGGATTGGTCACACAGTCAGAAAAAAAATTCCATTATTGCAAAAATTGTCCTAGGGTGAAATCCCCAAGGAAGGAGAAACAGAGGTCGCCCAGTACGAACTTGAAGAAGATCAAAGTCTTGGAATGAGGTGAAGGCCTTAGCGCAAAATATAACCAGATGGCGCGTTTTCACTGAAGCTCTATGCTCCACTTAGGGAAGAACCTTGATATACATATATATATATATATATATATATATATATATATATATATATATATATATTCGGCATGTAGACCTCTAATAAAGACAATATCGCCTGCTCCATCCTCCAATCAAATTTCTACTGTAGGGATCCTTCTGTCAAATGTTCGCATCCAGCCTAGTTCCAATATTCGCGCAAATCCCCACGCTAATTGCCATGCCAATCTCCACAAAAATTACGTCACCATCGACGGTATAAATGAATCTTCCTCTGTTTCCAATACCAGTATTGCATTGGTTAGTAATTAGTGTTGTAGTGAGGAAGGCGGAGAGCTCGAAAGCCCCGAAGAAGACATTAAGGGAGGCATCAAGAAGAGGATGTCGAAAGCTCGGCGCGCAATGATAATCGACGCTATTCAACCCGGAAGACTAGAAGATTAATATTAATTCTTGTAATGGTATTGATCTTATCTATTGATTGACGGTCGTACTCTTTCTCGATGCTATATATATAAATATATATATATATATATATATATATATATATATATATACATCTATATATATATATATATATATATATATATATATATATATATATATAATCAAAAAAATCAGACATTTTTTTTCAACGAGACCTTTAGCAATCTTCATACACCACACTTCGATGTAAAATCCTTTCCAAAAGGAACCACATGGTTCTCCAGCAATGGTTATCGTTACATTTATTACCAACCCTCTTATAATTAGATTTTTAACAAATCGACTTTTTCTATTCTGTCCTATAAATAAGTATTTTTGTCATCAGTTAATTTTTCATAAAGAGACTGATTTCGAAAGCCTTTTGTTTTGCTTTTCGGATTAGTAGATCCCTTTCTATTAAAAATAGTTCCTTTTTTTAAGTACTTTGGTGTATCTAACAATAAAGTTAACTTCCACGCTTTTTTCAATAAAAAATAGTTTTTTCAAATTGTTCACTGAGCTCTAATTAAAACAAGGTACTTTTTCTTCTGGCTTCATGTTTCGAGATATTGTACATCAGCGATGGCAGAGATGTGTTGTAATATATTATACTGTTCTTGTTAACATATTGGTAACATTTATTACTTGTTACTGTTAAAAATTGCTTCCACCGGAGGAACAAATAGCAACATGTAGCAACATTTTTGTTGCCTGTGTTTCTTCTTGTTTGTAAATTTAGGAACTTATTAGCAACAAATGTAAACTTTTTATTTCCACTGACAGAACTTTTTGTTTCCGGTCGTTTCTGATAACTGAGAGAGAGCAACTTAGTGTTTCCACCGCGGTTGGTAAACATGGATCAAGATGATGAAATAGCTGCAGCAGCGGCGGCCTATATAGTGTTGTCGGCAAAAAAGAAAAAAAGAAAGTACAAATGTTGGGTGAAACAAGTCTCTGTGATAGAAGTGAATATGGTGGCATGCATCTACTCAATGTATTAAAAAAAGACGATGTATACATAGGAAATAATAAAAATAATGGTAGTGTCAAAAATTTTTTACGAATGTCCAGCACCGATTTTGAATGGTTATTATGTCAAATTGCCCCCAAAATACAGAAAGAAGATACAAATTATAGACAAACCATTTCACCAATGGAACGACTACTGCTCACACTGCGATTCCTTGCAACAGGCGATTCTTACCATTCCTTGATGTACTTGTTCAAAATTTCGGTATCATCAATTAGTAGAATTATACCAGAAGTACGTAAAGTAATCGCTGAAGTTCTGAAGGATAAACTTAAGGTAAGTAGATACCTCGGTAGATATACAGCTTTTCAATCAAATGACATAATGTAATTATTAGTAGACATTTTATTACATTTAAAAAAAACCAATTTTTTGAAGTGTGAGAAAAAAATTAACAAGATATTCTATTTAAATTCTAAATAAAAAATTTAAAAAATCTAATTAAAAAATTAAAGAGATATTCTTTTTAACAAATAATATTTTATCAGTAATTTACATCAAGTCCTGCATCTGACATGGCCAGACGTATCGCATCAGATATAGATGATTCTTGAAGATTTCTACAAGGCTGCTTTTCTTTTGAGAGTGTCGAATTGTTTGTCTTTGTTTGGGGAAGATAGTTAGTTTCATAACAAGAGCTATTTGGGGATGGCATAGGTGTGTGTGTGTTGTTGAGGCTGGTGATGTTACAGAATCATTGGTACTGGATGATTAATAGTTCTGGTTATCTGAATAATATCTTGCTGTGTTGTTATTGGCCGAAGGTGTATGCCAACTTTGATAACATGGAAATGGCTGACCGTATTTACCCATAGATGCGTCATACAAAATATTAGAGATCAAATGCTCTACCGTGTTTTTAGCGTTTTCATTTTGAAGATTTTCGATTTTACAAGCAACTAGTTCGTCGAAAATTTGGAACCGATTACGTGGCTTTTTATTTTGTAGCTGCTTCAGCAATACATATGCCTCTTCCTGTCGTTCGTCAGTTTTCACATCAGCTTGTCTTTTCTTCATTGTTTTTGGACTTTTAACGAGCCTAGGTCCCTGTTTACTTTTTGTAGTGCTGCTTGTGGAAGGCGTAGGAGATCTGGTTCTGTTTTCATTAGGCTTTGTAGGTGTTTCAGTAATAGCAGCAACAGTTTTGTTCAGAGTGTCGACGTCATTGTTCGCCTCTCCAACAATAAAAGAAGAATCAGTTACTGCATCTGCCTCGTCTGCTATATTGGAATCTTGCGATTCAACTTCCCCGCTGTCCGTTGCACTACTGTCTGACCCATCATCTTCACCCTGAAAATTAAAAATATATTTTTACTTCTTACTCTTTTAATATGAAATACAAATTATATTTAAAGCGAGAGAAGTTTTGATTAAACAAATTTACCGGTTTTTAATTTTTCAGATGCCTCAGAGTAGAGAGGAGTGGCTTATTACGGGACATCAATTCTCTAATCTTTGTAATTTTCCTAAATGTGCCGGGGTTGTGGATGGCAAACACATTATGATACAAGCACCAAAACATAGTGGCAGTGAATTTTATAATTATAAGTCCTTCTTCAGTGTGGTGTTATTTATTGTGGCCAACGCAAATTATGAGGTGATGTATCTTAATGTGGGCAGCCAAGGTCGTATATCCGACGGTGGAGTGTTTGACAGTACTCATTTCAAAAAAATGTCATATCAAAACACGCTTAATTTGCTGAATTAGAACCATTGCCAGGAAGAACAAAAGCTGTTCCGTTTGTTTTTCTAGGAGATGACGCTTTTCCCCTATCACCAAACTTATTGAAACCTTACCCTGGCACTCAAGAGAACGGTTCCTCAAAACGATTTTTTAAATTACCGCTTGTCACGCGCTAGGCGTATTTCTGAGAACGTTTTTGGAATCATGTCTGCTAGGTTTCAGGGTATTAAGAAAAACCCATGCTACTTGAACCCGACAGAGTGGAATTAGTTGTTGCTGCATGTGTATATCTCCATAATTTTCTGAGAAGCAATTTACATTCCCGAAAGTCATACTCACCTCCTGGCACCTTTGATTCAGAAGACAAAGATACGGGCGAAAGGATCCCAGGTTCTTGGAGAAACGAAATAAAGAACAATATGTTTGCATCACTGCAAAAACAAGCACGTAATTCAACGTTGGAAGCTAAACAAGTTCGAGATGAATTTGCTCAATATTTTATGTCACCCGAAGGAATGGTTCCATGGCAAAATAATTTTTAACTTTGTATAAAAATTACAAATAAAACAAAAAAAAAATACGTACCTCACTTGTAGTTATTCCTTTTTCAGTACATTTTCTAACTTTGTTCCTGCCGCAAGAAACAACAAGACTTCATAAGCAAACCATTTTGAAATAAATACGGCGCCGGCTTCCGACTTTTTTAACGTACGATATTTTTTTCTTTCTCTATAGAATTGTGCAATAACATTTTTCATTTTTCTTTTCACTTCTTCTATATTTGAGCCTGTTTTTTCTGCCAATGTTGTCCAAGCATCGTGTTTCGCATTTCTACATTTATACTGGGCGTGCTTTGTATTCCATAAACACTCACAAAGCTTATAGTTTTCGATTAATTCGAGTACTAACTCATTTGTCCACATGAACGGCATTTTTCTATTTTTTCACACGTCCGACCGACTATAAATTATTCCACGTTCGCCGTCGAGCTGCACTAGACAAAACAAGTCACTACAAGTTGCTGTATCTGTTTCCACTCAGACAACAATATGTTTATGTTGCCTGTTGTTGCCGTATTTCTTTTGAAGTTTACCGCTAAAACTGGAAACCACCAACAATCGCAAACATGCAACATTTGTTGTCGAAACAAGAAGAAACACTTAGGAACTTTGAGGAACTTTGCGAAACATTTTTAAGCAACAAGCAACAGAAACACAAAAGTTCCTTCATGTTCCTCTGGTGGAAACTATACTTTACATTTGTTACTGTGATCTTGTGACATTTTGGTAACTTTTTAATGTTTGTATTAATTTTAAATAAAATTTGAAATGTATTTTTTTACCATAACTTATAATGTTGAATAATTGAAGAAGTGCATAAATACTGCACGAAACGTGTTTTCTATTAAAATATTGAAATAGTTTTTTCATTTTTTATTTCTCCTTGACCGATATCCTCACTTACAGTGAGATTTTAATCTCACTCACATTTGATATAAATATATATATATATATATATATAAATATAAATATATATATATATATATATATATATATATATATATATATAATATATATATTGCAAAACTGGTAGGATTATCGACCGAAACGTAAATAACAATTTATTGTTTTGGAGTATCAGGTATGCGGCTGTTATTAAAAAAAAAAACTCTTTTTTCTTTTATTACTTATATTTCGCTGATTTTTGTCAGCTTCTTCAGGAGAAAACTAAAATATGGTTAAAATTTTATATACATAACAGGTATAATAAACAATGATTTACTTACAGATTAAGAGTTAAAATATTTAAAAAATGTTAAACATAATATTCAAAACAGTACTGACAGTTTTAGTCAAAAGCATCTAGTCACTAGTAATTAAATATAACAAAAAATATAATAAATAGAAAACAAAAACAACCAGAAACATAAAAACACAATAAAATTACACATTAAAAATATACAGGATGATTTAAAATATAATTGTAAAAAGAAAAATTATTTGAACATACTCAGAATATTACCAGTAGATATTGCTTAACTGTCCCGTATCTGCCTTATAATTAACTGCATATTTTTTCTTTATTAATGTGACACATTTCTAAAAACAATCTTTTTTTGTAATTGTTCTCTTGTTGTAGAACCCTGACCTTGAGTAGTCAAATTGATGCCCAGTTTTTAGGTAATGGTCTAACTGCCGCACATGTATTCTTCTTTTTTGTGCAGTCATTTTGTGTTGTGTGACCCGTTGTTTTAGCCATTGAGAAGTTTGGCCAACATAACAGCTCTGACAATCCAAGCAAGGCAGTTTATATATGACATAGTTTTATTTACAGTTGATGTCTTGTCTTTTACTTTTAGAAAACAGTTGTCGTTTTCTAATACATTATATTGACAATTTTTGATGTTAGTAAATTGTTTAAATAAACTAGTCACAGAAGTGTTAACTGTTTTATATAATGGCAATTTTTATATTGATTGTTTGTACTGCTCCGATGGTAAGCATATTAGTGATGAAAAATTCATAAACAGAAACTTAAATTTGCTTTTAAACATTTTGAAAATAAATGATACCCAAAACATATCCTTAAAAAATTAATATTCAACTCAGACATTTTGACGGTCCCACTGATATCGGGATCACACATTCGAAATTTGCCGTAAAAAAAGCAAAAATGAAAGTTATGAAACATAAAAATCACAAGGCACAGTAATAGCTATGCAAAAAGTATGAGATGATTGCAGGAATTTTGTTTGTTAATAATATTGTGTGGTATTTGGTTCTTACTATGTGCTTTTTTAGATGAAAACTGCTTAAATGTGTTTAAAAAGTTTCCGTTGAACATATTGCTACCAAGGTTCCGTAAGATTAATATCACATAGGAAGAGTCTCTTGACGAAAAAGAAAAAGTAGTTCGAGAATATACAAGGTAACATCGAAAATTCATGAAATGTCTAGTGAAGTTGGGAACGTCAGAAAATATATACAAAAATTATGTTTTTGACAGTTTGAAAGTTCAATTTTGAGTTTTAAAGTTTATAGTTGTCATTCAGTTAAAGTTGTATTAAGTATTGCAAACAAGTTGGTGCTCAATAAAGTTATTTTCAATAAGTGCAGCAATACATTTATTCCATTTTATAAAATGCAAGAAAAAAGAAACAGTTTGCATACTTAGTCTAATAATAATAAACCATATATAACGACATAGAAAACGTAATAAAGGAACCAATCCGCATTGTGCTGAATATTCTTACAAGTTGCAATATTTTGGTATGGAAGTCAGTTTGTATCAAAGCTTTTGCCAGCATTCATGCAGTTAAACTGTTTCGCTTAAAAAGAAATCAGTTACCACTAGTAGAAAAAGATTGTGCACCTAAAGCAAAAAAGCTACAACAATCATAATACATCACATACATATATTTTCTCCTATTCAGTCCGATTACTCATTGTAAAAAAATCCTAATCAGCTATACCTACCATCAGAGTTAACATTAAAAGATATGCACAAGGCTTTTTTGCAGAAATACTATTTTAATGTCTCCTATAAAATAAAATGGAAAGTATTTAAAACAAAATTTAATATTAAATTTGGATTTCCCCGTACCGATACATATGCGAAATGTGAGAAATTTGAACATACTTTAAGAAACAAAGATATTTATGAGGCTGAAAAAGCTGCTGGCAAAACACAAAAAGAAAAGCTAATGCTTTCTATTTCAAAAAACGCAGCTACAACGAACAGGCAAGAGCAGATCAAATTACTTGCATTATCTTTGATTATATACAAAATTTACCACTGCCACATATATCCAGTATATTCTGCAAGGCAGATAAAGTACTATGTTTTTGGGATCCATGATTTGGGGGTAATCAAGCAATAATATATACTTATATAGAAAAGTACTAATCGATGTTATATCTATGTTATTAAACAACTTGAATACCAATTACTTATGTAGAAATTTGGTTTTGATTAGCGATGGCTGCCTGGGCAAGAACAGGAAGTATACCATATTATACTTTTTATATGTATTAGTTTATGTGTTAAATTTTCTCTTATCTCAAAAGAAAACCGGAAAACAGAACATGTTGAGACTCCAGAAGGTTGGGATAACCTCATTTTACAAGCAAGAGCAAAACTATTTTTTAGACTTATCAAAGTAAATGATTCAATGCTTTTTGATATAAAAAGTGCAACTAACAAATTTTTAGTAAAATATCCAAAACCAGCTATTAACATAAAAAGATTTTTTTCTTTAGCTGCATTTTTGGCAAAGATAGCTATAGCGGTCTACGCATTCATCACTTGAGGCGTCGGATCAAAAATACCAGAACACACTAAAAAGACAAAACTGGATATTCTAGAAAACCTTATTCCTTTTTTCCATGACCACAGCAAGAGAACATTTTATGAAGATTTGATAAAAAGCCAGACTACCATAAACAGCCCGACGACCATATGACCTGGCCGTTTTGGATAACACGGGGTCGCTTATTCTGATCATAGCAGTGGTATCGAAGACTAAGCAAGTTGATGGTAGCATTAAAGCTTTTATATTTTAATGTTGGTCAGTGTTTATATTTGGTTTTTAGTCTTTACATTCAAA